GGGGCACCCCCCCTTTCCCCCCCCCCCCCATTTTGGGGGTGGGGTTCCTCCTCAAAATTCCTACCAGACCTTAAGGGCCTGGTAAGACTTTGGGGGGGAACCCCGCACACTTTTGTTTTTATTTTTAACTTGGGGTTCTTCCTAAAATTCCTACCAAACTTAAAGGGTCTGTTATGGTTTGGGAGGGGGACCCTTCACTGTTGTTTGTTTGTTTTTTTCTTTACATTCTTTAAATTATTTTATAAGATGATTTATATTTATTTTACTTTTTTTACATTTATTTAAATAATTTTTTAACATTTTTTTCTGATTGGCTGATTTTAGTAGATGTATGACTGAAATCAGCCGTACTGAGTTGAAGTGAATAGCCGAACACCGTTCGGCTCAGTTCACTTCGGCTCGGCTATTCACTCGGCTGCCTTTAGCAGCTTTGTGAATAACCCTCTTAGTTCACATTAGCAAAAACGAAAATCGTTCCTGTACGATTTCAGAACGAAAATCCAACAATGTATGGTCACCTTTAGTGGTTATTAATATTTTTAATTTTATCCTTTGGGAGATTTGAAGCCAGTGGAGGGATTGACAGAGAGGGGTTGCAGTCACTGAGTGGTTGACTAGGTGGATGAGTCTAGCAGCAGCATTCATGATAGACTGAAGGGGGATAGCCTGTGTAGAGGTATGCCATAGGTTGGACTTGATGGACTAATGTCTTTGTTCAACCTCAAATACTATGTAACTATGTAACAATGAAGAGGGAGTTACAATAGTCAAGACGGGAGATAACATGTGAGTGAATCAGTAGCTTTGTGGTTTCCTTGATGAGGAAGGGGCGTATTTTGGAGATGTTACGAAGGAGAAGGTGGCAGGATTTGGATAGTGATTGGATGTGGGGAAGAAAGGTGAGGTCTGAGTCAAGGATGACACCTAGCACCTTGGCATGGGGGAGGGTTGGATAATTGTGTTAACAATCTCAATAGAAAAGTTGGGGGAAGGTGCACGGGCAGGAAGAAATATCATGAGCTCAGTTCTTGAAAGATTGAATTTTAAGAAGTGTTGTGACTTCCAGACTGATATGTCAATTAGTAAATTAGTTATGGGCAAGGATACAGAGGGGGTGAGTTGTGCAGTGGACAGATATATTTGAGTGTTATTGGCATAGAGATCATATTGAAAGCCATGCAAGATCATCAACTGACCAAACGAGGAGGTGTCCTATTTTTTGCTGGAGTTCTGCTTTAAATATTTCATATGTATCCTTAAGTAACAAAAGAGCCACATGGAATAGTTTTTCCATGCCTACTCCGCCAAATGGAACTATAGCACTCAACTTGCCATGCTGCTTTTTTTTATTTTAATCTTTAGCCAGCAGAAGGGTAGTGCATGCCCTGCTCACCTCTTACTGTAATTCCACACTGCTCTGGTGATCATGAGCATAAACAGTGGGAATGACATTCATTATCCTCTCACTGGTGAGTATCTTGGAGCAGATCAGCACAATAGTAATTAAAGACAGGATGGTATGTATTTAACAGGTTGTTTTTTCTCAGCCTTCGATGGTTGCTATCGACAGCATAGGTTTCACACTGCCTTACATCAGGAACAGCCTCATTCTAAATAACAAAGTTGAATGTACTTTTGTGTAGAAGAGACATTCTGTCTACTAAATTAATAAAGATGTAAGCCCTAAATGTCGCTTCGGAGTGGATGTAAAGCTGACCGATATGAGCATATGTGATTGTTTAGCCATGTTACATGCATGCATAATAAATACAAGAGGTATTTTATACATAAAAATACATTGCATCTAAAAGTTATCCTTGTTATTAGTTCTATCTATTTCTGTAATGTGCATATTTGTAAGCCACTGCTACATGGTATGCTTCAGCTGGTGTGCTACACTGCTTGAGTGAAACAAAATACCAAGCCATGCGCGATAATGTACAATTCATGCTGTCATACACTTGCATTGTGCACAAAAGCTAATTGTTCGCATAAAAAAAAGGGTTTAAACTAAAAGAAAAATGTTGTTTTTAGTGTGCTCTATTCTACATCTTACTTTGTGTTTACTGTGTGGCACAAGGACCACCAGTGGTAGGTAGAGCTCAAGGTATGGTCCAATAAAAGGCACCCTGGGGTGCCCCTCTGGCTGTCAGGGGTGCCTTTAATTTGTTGCACAGTGTCATGCATTTCCATGGTTCAGACGGCCCAGTCATCAATACCATGAAAATGCATGTCACTAATGCAGGGCCGGCTGCATCCAAAACCTTCTCCAGTATTCAGAAGAGGGCAGAATTCCACATGCGCACACACCTGCTCTGCCTCCTGCACTCTGCCATGCTGCCAGAGCTGCACTGTTGTGCAAATGATAAGGTAGGACTCTGATGTGAAAGGGGACTGATGACTCTGATGTGAATGGGGGACTCTGATGTAAAAAGGGGGGACTTTGATGGGAAGGGAGGCTTCTGTTGATAGAGGTTCCAAGGTGAACAGTGAAGCTCCATGATGCTGTGTTTTTGTATGAAATCCATAACTAGTAAAAAGATCTGGTATACGTTTTGGGGAAAATGTCCTCTTTAACATTTACATTTTTTACATTTCATACATTTAAAGGGTGCCGTGACTAAAAAAAAGGATGAGAAACATTGTTTTATATACTGTATACATTAATAAAAATCTATTGAAAGAGAACCATTCTACAACCGTGTAACACTTCCCTTCATATTAATAAGGAAGATGCTACTAAAATATTGCTTCACTGCCGAATAGCATTATATATTTCATTTCCTGATAAGCCTTCAATATTCATCTCTTCTATTGTTGCCTGATGTTTAAAATGTGGGGTAGGACAGCCGTATTAGAAGTTTAGCTTTGTGTAGTTTAAATGGTGACACATTGACTAGTTCATTTGTAAATAGAAGAGCTTTAAAAGGTATTTTACATGAGTGCTAGGTTTTAAAAAAAGAATGCCCTATGGCAGTGCATAATTACCATTACAATGTAACTGGGCTGATGTGCATTTCTTCTTTGCTGGGAGCATTATAGAGGAGGCGGGTCTGTAATGCAAGTCATAGTGAACAGGGCTGTGCTGCTTTCATTCACATCTTACTGAGCAGCTGTGGAACACATCGTACTGCATGCCTGGAAATCCCTTGTTAAAATTCAGTAAATCTAATAGAAAGAATGCTATGACCATCATCAGGACCTCATAGATTCTATATTGTCATTACAGCGGAGCACTCTCTTCTACCCATCACTATCTTTTGGAGATGCCTGATGAGATTGGGATCATTTATATGATAACTCTTCAAGCTGTATCATTGTGAAGGATTGCAACTTTGGGTAAGTGGCTGTTTGCTGCAATTAGTAAAGTAGTATCAGGTCTACTTATTTCTGTGTAGTGCAATAAAACAAAATGCTACAGCTATTTGGGTTTGTTTGACTCTAATGAACCCCAGCATTAGTAATAAAGTTACAGCTTTGCTGAAACAAAACTTAATACTATTTAATTAAAAGTTTTTTCTATATAACGGTCACATTTGAAGACCTGGACTATTGTACAGTGCCATCTTTTATAAAATGATGCACAGATATTTACTAAAGCGTTAACTGTATTGTCTGTTTAGATGCCAATGCAAATTACTGACTACAACCTCAGTGTGGAATGTCCTTATGCTGCCAGAACCCAAAAGCCAGTTATTAGTCCTGTGTTTTATGGTAACGGCTCATCCCGTCTGTGTTAGGACAACTAGTATAGAGATATTGTAGAGGGTCCTACTACTGGGGTCATCATTATGAATGCCTCCTGTGAATGAGTCACGCACAAAAACTATACAACTGACTGTTCTGTTATGTGCGCAAGAAATAGCTGTATGGGAAACAAAAAGAGTATATAAAGTAAAAGACTTTCCTTGGATTACAATGACATTTTTGTTTTATAGGCAAATGCTTCTTAAAACAGCATATTTAAAAGGGGGATTTTTAGCTACAATTTGTGAAGCCCGATGAATATACCATTGTCACTTCAATTGCTTTCCTCAACTTTTTTATGAACTTAACTAGAACTACATTATAGCTTAAACTTATTGTGGGACTTGTTAATCTCTTTGGCACCCATTTTTTTGTGTCTATACTGTCCGTTGTGGCTATATATATATATATATACTTGACTTTTGACTGATGAAGTGATACATAGTCGTTTAGTCCAATTATATACATTTTAAAAGGTGTCTATGTTAATTGTCCAGTATCCTCCCAGCAAGTACACTAGTACTGCTATCTTAATATGGTAATTGCATTGTTGGAATTGATTCAGTGGGCTGTTTCCCCTTACAAATCTGCCCCAGGTACTGGAATTTAGTATGCCTGAAGCTGTTAGATGTGTGCCCCACATTGGGTGAATTCTTTATTTTCTTCTTCAAAAACATTTATAGCAATTGAAATAAAAAAATCTGATAAATTGAACCACTTTTCTAAGCTACCAACTAATGTAGTTATGTTGCCAGTATTATAATTTACATTGACAGCGTATAGAGCAATAGTGGTTCTGATACCTGAAAAATAGAAATAAAGACAAAGATAGCCAATATGAATATATTAATGTCTACAATGTACTATGTTCATGTATTTGAAATGTGTGTAATTAGAGCTTTGTAAAGTCTCTGCGTAGCACGGACCTAGTGGCTAGCATAACACTACCACTTCCACCTTCTAGCGTAGGTGTGTTGGCTATTTTTTTCTCATAATGCATAGACTGTACTTTCCAAAATTATACAGTATCTATGAACAGCTGTCATTACTCAGCAATGATGTATAAAATGTGTATGTTACCTATGTGGAGTTTTTCTGGTTACATTAAAGGAAAAATGAGAAGAATATGAAAAAGGATCTGTTCTTACCCAGTAGAATGGCATTTTTATGAGAACAGACTTGTCAGATACCTGATATCAGTTATGTTATTGAATCAGTCCTGGCTAGACAGATGGGTTTTCACTGACTGCTGGGTGTTGGGGCATAAATAGAAATACGTAGAATAGCTTTAGGTGATGTGATATAGCTCTGTACATTGAATGTAAAATGTGGATTTAAAGGAGAATACTCATTTCATAAGTCTGAGGGTGTGTTAACAAAACATTAAGATGCAGATACTAAATCCACCACAAATGCCTGGCTTAGATCCATGGTATTATCAGTATTATATTGAGGCTATTGTATTATTGTATTATGTATTTAGGGATTGGGTTAAGATTAAGTTCAGGATGATACTGAGATTAAATGTAAGGGTTCAGGGCCACCTTCAGAGTTGTTTGGGGCATATTAAGTTAAGCTTCAGGTTATGTTTAGGCAAAAGGTTTGTTTCTTGCAAATATTTTTCATTGTGATAATTTATTTGGGAGGGGGGCTCATTTGTTGCTTTTTTTAAGCCGAAACTACTTTGAACCCAAAACTACAACTCTGAAGTATCTGCAGTAAACCCTAACTTAACGATGAGTCCTAAGCAAAAAACTAACATTACCTCTAGAAGTCAAGTTGTCCTTTTAATATGTTACAGTAAAAGCTTTAAGGGCTTCTTCAGACAAGCAGTAAGTTGCATCTTGTAGATTCAACTCACTAGCACCTAAGAAATTACTTGATGGACTGCTCATAATTCCATTGTATGGTTGAAGAAAGCTATCAGTCAAGCACATACTAGGTAAGTGCAAGCACTGATACTGGCAGTCAGAAGAAGCAAAATAAAATGTCCCTATGCTTGGGAATGTGAGTTCCTACACTTACCTGAGCTGTGTCTGACAGCTGTAACCATACATAAAACAAACACAGCCTGTCACTGGACCCAAGGGCAAAGGAGTGATCCATTATAGTTATCTATTATTATTAACTCTACATCATCCCAGATGCTGGTTATCGGTTTATTGGCACCAAGGTGGAGAGCTTTATTGACTATTCAATTAAATTAAGGAAAGCCTTGAACTGGAACAGTTTTAGGTGCTGTAGCTAAAACCTTAGACACAACAGCTTTGTCAAAATCCTCGTCTTCCTTTCTCAGTTACATTTGCCTAAACATATATACCAAATATTAGGTTTGTTTAATTGCTCATTGCACTATATATGGGAGTTTTTTGTGTCCTGTTTTGATTTTTCATCTTTTTCTAACTTCGTGCTACCGTCGTAAGAAAATGTAATGTCACTTGTCACGTGCAAAGAGTTATCAGCTCAAAACACACACCTGTTGGGTCTGATAAATTGTCAGTGTCACATACACATAATTGTCACATTTAGATCGTTGCAATGTCAAAGAGGGAAAGGAGAAATGTTCTGTGACATAGGTGCCAGTCACTATTCAATAAGACAACTGACAGAATATTCTAAGATGAATGAAAAGGGATAACTGACACAGAGTAGTGCTAGAGTACATGATACGTCAGATAATAGAATACACTTGGCAATTTTAAGTTCAAATCAAAATGGTACAAATATTAAGTCAATTATGTTGAGTCACATGTAACTGACACAACTAGTAACATGGCTTTGATATTGTATTGCCACTATTAGTCAATAGTGCACATCTGGGAATTACATATAGAAACATTAAATTTGCCTTCAAAATAAAGGATACATGACCAACAATATCTACAGTGCTTCTACATGTAATATACAGATAATATATAGGGACCTATTTGTCAGTATGTCTTTCCTAACTTTCTGTATTGTCTCACTGAAACCAATCTTTTCCTAACCTGCATTAGAAATTGATAGACACACAGACTGGTGTTATAAAAGACACTTCTGTAAATAAGGCCCATTGCTGTTTTATGACATCAGGGAAAGCATAGGACATAATAAAAAATGAATTAAGATTAAGGCACGTTTTAAAGCATGAAATGATGATGAAGCATGACAATAGCTCATAATTCTAGCAAATCTGTGAATGAGCCATAGGACATTAGGAAGTTGAGGAGTTTGTTGCAATAGAAGGCACCATTGGTAGGCTGTATTTACTTTCACCATGCTCCCCCAATCAACCACCATAATCGTGAGAAATCAGCAGTAATTCTGGCACGGAGGTGAAATACATGATGCTTCCCCTGCCTCCCACAATGCAGTGCTTCGTCCAAGTGCTGTCAAATGGATGCAGGGGGGAGTCTGACCAGCCATGTGTAAGTTTCAAGTTTCAAAAAGTAAACATTTTTGGGCACTCTGGTGGCAGATTCTGGCTGAGATGGGACAGGTAAGTTCAGTCCATCTATGTTGATGAAACAAGGAATCTGTTACTTTGCATATTATGGGTGAAGCACACATTTAATCTAACTACAAAAGAAAAACACTATTCCAATGCTTGATACATCTAAAAACATTAATAAAAATGATTAATGACAAGTTTTTCCTTGCACTTTCTTAAGCATAACATGAATCCAAAGATTAGTTCTTGAATTACTTAAGGGGTTGTGAGGGTTTCAGAAAGGGTGGTTAGACTGGAATTTGCTCCAGAGGAAATAGTTAGTGTGAATTCACCAGGGGATTTCAGGATGAAATAGGATATGTTCCCTGAGAAAAGTCTCAGAGCTATAGGAATCTGTAGGTCATGTTAGGGTTCTCTATCAATAAACACATTATCTCCACGGGCCCATTAAAACAGTCAGACTTGTCTACACATTGAAAGTGAACAGAAAACTGTGCATTTGGCTTTTGTCGTGGAAAACCATCCATATGTATTGCTAGTTACAGGATCCATCATATAGACATTAATATCTTACAGAAAAAGATAATAGTTTGCTCATCAGACCCTTACTTAAACTTGTCCTTAGATAACTATTAGGCTTTGACTTGAAATACAACATTTCACCAATGATCAGTTCTTGGATAGTAATCCAACTGATTGGATGTAAAACAGTTCACCATATCAAGATACTTTGGTTTATGATCCAGTATTTGGAATAAAGATGGGACTCTTTCTGAATAATACAATTCTTGTTATTAGGTGGATATTGATGCCATCATTGTTAAATATCAGAGCAGTAATACAATCCTTTAAGTAATTTATGGATGGATTGTAGCTTGCTTGGCTTGTAGCTTTGCATCTTATACAGATTCTTTTGTTCCAAGATAAAGCTTAGGACTTTTATAGCATCAGTCCAATTTTGATATGGTGCAGCCAAAATTCAGGGGTGGGATTGGGTGGAAAGATTTTTCAACATGTTCACTTCAATCACTTAATTTTCTGCAGTAAAAGGAAACGTATTTGATCTGCTTTATAAATTTAGATACCATTGCTTTTCACAGTGCTTTGCCATTAAAAATACTCCATTCACACCTGACCTCCAAAGTAGCTAATAGTCTACCTA